CCCTCCTGTGCGCCTTCTTCCCGAAGGACCCCGTGTCCTGAAGGCACTCGGGGCTAACCCGGAGGAGTGAGGAGGAGTAGCGTTGTAGGGACCGCCTCCGCCCTGACTGAGAGAGCCTTCGTGTTGTTGCAGGGGCTGATGGCAGCGCGGGCGGGGCTGGTGGGCATGGCGGCGCCCGCGGGGCCCTCAGTGGGCGCGGGCGTGGCCACGTGCCCCGTGTGTGGGCGGGATTTTCGCGGGCCGTATCACACCACGCTCCTGCGGCGGCACATGCGCACGCACACGGGCGAGAAGCCGTACGCCTGCCCGCACTGCCCCTACCGCGCCAACATCTCCAGCAATCTGACCCGCCACGTGCGCTCCCGCCACCACACCGCCCTCCTGCGCCCGCCGCCGCCGCAGCCGCAGCCGCCCCTCGGCCGCAACCCCGACGACACCTTGCACGAGCGGCATGAACTCACGTGACCTGACCTGGCTGACCTCGGGGCGCGGCCGTGGAGAGGGCTGCTTTGAGGCTCGGCAGGATGTGCAGCTGGGCTGGCCGGCGCTGCCACGAACTGGGCTTTGTCGGCTGCTGTAGAGACAAGGGAAACAAACAAAAATTGGAGGCTTCTATGTTTATGTTCATTTTAGATTGCATTCTTATGTAATACCAAAAGAGAGTGATTTTCGTTCCTAGGAATTTTCTTTGAATATTGGTCACGAATGGAAAAAATCAGTTAGAAACCTTTTCCTTTGTTTGTGCAATTCTCTAATCTCCACACGAGTCAGTGAATTTTGTTCATCACACAGCCATGTGGATATGCTAATGAGGGTTAGGAGCAATATTTTTTTCTTTACGTCAAAACAAAAAAGGAGTTTGTTTTTTTATACATTAGTAGCTCAGAGGGGGAGAAGCCATTGTTTTGCGGGGCTGTTGGTGCTATTGTAAACCCGAAGAGGCAGCTTATTTTCCCTACACACTCAGGATACTCTCAGATGTTAAATAAAAGAACAACTTTTTTGGAGTTTGTATTATTTTACATATTTCTTGTTGCATTTGATTAATGCGATGAAAAATGGAATTCTTTTTTTTCCCTCATTGTGAAGGCAACGTCTGAAAGACAAACGCACTTGTAGTTGATAAAAGAAGGACGAAATGTATTTTTTATTTTCTATTTTTTGTTACTTTTTTGTACGCTTATATGGGCTAGCAGACCCTTCTACCTTTCGTGCCAGTGAGAGAGAAAAAAAAAAGCAAAGCAGATTATGTCGCAAAAGCAGTCGAGAAAAGATAACTTCACACCTTTACAGACAATGCCTTTATAGCCACGAAACAAACCTGACAGAGTTCTAACTTTCCCTGTCTCCTCCACCGAGAGTAAGTAATCTTCCCAGTCCACAGACGAGAGAAGTGTCAGGATGACTCGTTAAGGGAACGCTGGTAAATGTGTGTTGTTTTGGCATGATCATTGTGATGTGGTACACGTAGACTCCAAGTTGGGATTGTGTAATGAGTATATTAGATAAAAGAGGCCAATGAAGACCCTGGCAGTCCAGTCAGACGGACGTTCAGGCAGGCAGACAGGAGTCAGAGGAGGACCTGGTTGTAGCTTTGATGTTGTGTTGAGCGGTCGGTGGTGGTCAGGCGCTGATAGCATTGTGTGTTGCAGGGGAACGGGTCCGTCATGTGTCCGCTGTGCAGGAAGAGGTTCCAGGGCCCCAACCGGCAGTACGTGCTCACTCGCCACCTGTCCACCACCCACGCGGTCGAAAAGCCCTACCGCTGCCCGCACTGCCCCTACCGAGCCGCCCGCGCGACCACGTCTCTGCGCCACGTCCGCAGGTGCACACGCCCCGCCTGCACGCGCTGGCCGCCGCCGCCACGCTCGCCACGCTGCCGCACCTGCAGGAGGACTCGACGCCGCAGCCGCAGTCGCACCCGGAGGACCTGCACCAAGACGAGGCGAGGCAGCACCGCCTGCAGGAGGAAGTGCAGCAACACAACGAATAGGCAGCGGTGCGGGAGCCTCCGCGCCGCGATTATCTACCTCCTTCAATGAAGTACCTGGGAAGGGAACGCTAGAGAGATTTTAGTTTATTTTAAGTTTTAGTTGTGGACTGGAGCGCCGCCGCCAGGACATGCCCTGGCTGGAGCGCGCGCCCCAAGGAGTAAGCCATTAATGATGTTGCATTTTAACTTTGTATTTAAGGTGGTTCCGTGTGGCCTTCTTGGAGACTGACCGAGTGTGTCGTTGCAGGCGGGCGGCGGCGCAGCCCCGGTCCTCGCCCCGTCCGTGGGCCGCATGCTGAGCCAGGGCGCGGCGGAGGCGGGCGCCGTATGCCCCGTGTGTGGCAAGGCCTTCAAGGGCGACAAGTACAAGTTCCGCCTCAGCCGCCACATGATCATCCACACGGGGCAGAAGCCCTTCGCGTGCCCGCACTGCCCCTACCGAGCCGCCCGCCGCGACCACGTCTCGCGCCACGTCCGCATGGTGCACACGCCCCGCCTGCACGCGCTGGCCGCCGCCGCCACGCTCGCCACGCTGCCGCACCTGCAGGAGGACTCGACGCCGCAGCCGCAGTCGCACCCGGAGGACCTGCACCAAGACGAGGCGAGGCAGCACCGCCTGCAGGAGGAAGTGCAGCAACACAACGAATAGGCAGCGGTGCGGGAGCCTCCGCGCCGCGATTATCTACCTCCTTCAATGAAGTACCTGGGAAGGGAACGCTAGAGAGATTTTAGTTTATTTTAAGTTTTAGTTGTGGACTGGAGCGGCCGCCGCCAGGACATGCCCTGGCTGGAGCGCGCGCCCCAAGGAGTAAGCCATTAATGATGTTGCATTTTAACTTTGTATTTAAGGTGGTTCCGTGTGGCCTTCTTGAGACTGACCGAGTGCAGGGGAACGGGTCCGTCATGTGTCCGCTGTGCAGGAAGAGGTTCCAGGGCCCCAACCGGCAGTACGTGCTCACTCGCCACCTGTCCACCACCCACGCGGTCGAAAAGCCCTACCGCTGCCCGCACTGCCCCTACCGAGCCGCCCGCCGCGACCACGTCTCGCGCCACGTCCGCATGGTGCACACGCCCCGCCTGCACGCGCTGGCCGCCGCCGCCACGCTCGCCACGCTGCCGCACCTGCAGGAGGACTCGACGCCGCAGCCGCAGTCGCACCCGGAGGACCTGCACCAAGACGAGGCGAGGCAGCACCGCCTGCAGGAGGAAGTGCAGCAACACAACGAATAGGCAGCGGTGCGGGAGCCTCCGCGCCGCGATTATCTACCTCCTTCAATGAAGTACCTGGGAAGGGAACGCTAGAGAGATTTTAGTTTATTTTAAGTTTTAGTTGTGGACTGGAGCGGCCGCCGCCAGGACATGCCCTGGCTGGAGCGCGCGCCCCAAGGAGTAAGCCATTAATGATGTTGCATTTTAACTTTGTATTTAAGGTGGTTCCGTGTGGCCTTCTTGAGACTGACCGAGTGTGTCGTTGCAGGCGGGCGGCGGCGCAGCCCCGGTCCTCGCCCCGTCCGTGGGCCGCATGCTGAGCCAGGGCGCGGCGGAGGCGGGCGCCGTCTGCCCCGTGTGTGGCAAGGCCTTCAAGGGCGACAAGTACAAGTTCCGCCTCAGCCGCCACATGATCATCCACACGGGGCAGAAGCCCTTCGCGTGCCCGCACTGCCCCTACCGCGCCAATATCCGCACCAACCTCACCCGCCACGTTGCCATCCAGCACGCGCACGCCCCGGTGCTGCCGCTCATGGCCCCCGCGCCGCCCACGCCCACCTACGACTTTTCTACCTCCGCCGCACATTCCAGAAACCCTTCAATCAACAACCCGTATTTCACCTCAGAGTCCGTGAAAGAAACAGAACAGATTGAGTCGCGAACAGAGAACTTCGAATAAGAAATAAAAGCAGTTGAGATTTCCGTGGAAACCAGTTCAGGTTGACGCGTTCTGGCCGCAAGCCGTTTACGAAAGCCAAACTTACACAAAAGATTGCCTGCTGGCCAGTGTTGCTGATTCGGTGAGTGCCTCCGCCACATCCCTCCTGAATAGTTATAGAGATCTTACTGTCTTCCAGAGGGCGCCCCTCTGCAGCCTGGGGGCCAGCGTCCTGCTCCCCCCGAGGGCTGAGGCGCCCCTGACCTCGGCTCTGGGCTCACCTCTGGCTGCGACCTCCTTCAGCCACCCCTCCGCCGCCGCCGCCGCCGCCGCCGCCGCCCCCGCCTTACCCGGGACGCTCCCCGCCGAGCCGGCCCTTCAGTGCGCGGTGTGCGAGCGGCTGTTCAGCGGGCCCAAGAGGCGCTTCCTGCTGGAGAGGCACGCCAGGACGCACACGGGCGAGCGCCCCTTCCGCTGCCCCTTCTGCCCGCTGCGCTTCAGTCAGAGCGGCAACCTGGCCCGTCACGCGCGCCGCGTCCACCACCAGCCAGCCGCGTGAGCCGGGACGCCAGCCTCAAGGGACGCCAGCCTCAAGGGACGCCAGCCTCAAGGGACGCCAGCCTCAAGGGACGCAGAACTAAGACATTCCAAAGGACATCGTGCACTCCTGGCACACGCCGCGAGTCGGCCGAGCGGCGACTCGCGGCTGCCAGGAGAGCGGCGGCCTCTCGCGCAGGAGAGGGGGGGGGGGCGAGGCCTAATCACACGAATTGGACTTTCGCCGGAGGGATTGGCGGAACGCTCTGCAACACGTGCGTCAGCCATAAAAGAGCACTGTAAAAAAAATCATTCAATCTGACTTGTCGGTCGCAACGAAAGGTTAACAAAAGTTTTATTTTGTTTTAACGATTAGTTTTAAAGTTGGTCGTAAATGAATTGATCTAATCCGCTAATGAAAAGAATGGACGAGTTATTTTGATCAAGAGAAGGTAATCTCCGACGAAAGTGAAGCAAGTGAAGCTCGGAGAAAACCACGCCGCCAGGTCTCGGTCCGCGACGAGGGACGAGGCGGGCGCATCGTGCTGTAGTGTAACTACTCTAAAGGTAGCTGTATTGTTCTGTGCCATTGTACAAGTATTT